TCGATGGGTGACAGGATACTCCAGTGATGGGCTCCGTTGTACCCGCAGGTGGAGAAGCGGCTGGAGCTGGTGAAGCAGGTGTCCCACAGCACCCACAAGAAGCTGACAGCCTGTCTGCAGGGCCAGCAGGGCCTGGACGCTGACAAACGCTCGGTGAGGGCGGTGGGGCTGGGGGCTCCGGGGATCCGGGAGATCCAGGGGGATCCAGGGGATCCGGGTGGGAACGCAGTCCCTCTCCTTGCAGAAGAAGCTGCCGCTGACAACACTGGCGCAGTGCCTGATGGAGGGCTCGGCCGTGCTGGGGGATGACTCYCTGCTGGGGTAAGAGGGGCTGGGGCTGCCCTAGGGCTGGGATAGTGCCGGGAATGCTGCTGGGAATGTGCTGGGAATGCTGCTGCTCCTGGTCTCTGGTRCCAGAGATGCTGGAGGGGTCTCTGTAGTTAATTCTTCTTCTTGTATGGGCTGGGGTCCTGATCATACAATGCCAACTGCAGATATGGGCATTATATATTTGTAWATTTGTATATATAAACATGTTATATGTTATATGTTGTATATTTACATGAGTTGTTACTATTTATATACTTAAATATTACTTATATATTTACATACTATTTATCAATATTTATATACTTACATTTATGTATTGTGTAKTATATGTATTTCTRTAWGATTTACTATTTACTGATATATGTTTCATTATACTTTTCATATTTATATGTTATTTATTATTTATGTATTTTATGTATAAATTTTATTTCTATTTTTGTATGTATAGCATCCATACAATTTCAGACTGGCTAGTAATAATAGATAATGTAATACCAGTATATATCATAATACTAATACATAACATAATGCTATAGTTTATAATATCTCATAATATAATTATACCGTATTTTGATTATTATATCATTGTAAGTGCAATACTTAAGRAATGAGCTTTCCTGATCCCCGGGTGCCCAAGGTCCCCTGGCTGCCACCCTCCCTCCACCCTCTGCCAAGGAGGGGCTGCCCTGTGCCACTGCCCAGAGCCCTGGGGGTGGTGGGTGTCCCTGTCCCCGGTGGGTGCTGGTGCCCCTGTAACTGCGGTGGGTGCAGGACAGCCCTCCTGTCCCCTCCCCAGCCATGCCCTGTCCCCTCCCCATCCATGCCCTGTCCCCTCCCAGCCGTGCCCTGTCCCTGCAGGAAGATGCTGCGGCTGTGTGGGGAGGCTGAGGACAAACTGGCGCAGGAGCTGATCCACTTCGAGCTGCAGGTGGAGAGGGACGTCATCGAGCCACTCTTTGTGCTGGCTGAGGTGAGCTGGGGATCCCTGAGGGGTCCCTGGGCTGGCCCTGGACTGTCCCTGAGTGGTCCCTGGTGTGTCCCTGGGGTGTCACAGTGCCAGGGACTCCCACCCAGAGGGGAAGGCAGGATCTCAGCAGCCACCTGTTTGGTTCCTGGCCCCTGGAGCCGTGTCCTGCCAGGCTCCTTCCCCTGCTCCCACTGCTCTTCCTCCTTCCCACCTTTCCTGAGGGCAGTGGGCTCACACTCCTGTTTCTGACCCATTTTTCCAAGCTCCAAACCCTTCCCCTTGTGGGGTTTTTCCCTCTCCTTTTCCTCTCTGCTGCCAGGTTTGTTTTCCAGTTCTCCCCGATGTCTTTCCCCTCCTGTTATACCCAGCAAAACCTCCTGGGCTTGGTTCTGGTTTTGCCCTCCCCAGCACTAATGGGAGTTTTGTGGGGCTGCTGGTCCAGGGCTTCCCGCTGCTCCCAATCCCTTCAGGAAGCGGTGCCTGTGTCTGGAGCTCCACATGGCCATCTCCAGGAGCCCTTTTGCTGCCCTTATCCAGCCCCCCAGGGCAGGAAGCTATGATCCCCAGGGATGCTCCTCTCAGGGGTTGGAGCTGGGTCTGTCGGGGTGGGACCCGTTCTGGGTGGGACCCGTTCTGGGTGGGACACGTGGGAGGGATGAACTGGGCCATCTCCCTGTGGGTGTTCAATGAAGGATCTGCATCCTCACCCACCCAGCTTGGCCCAGCCAAACCCCCAGGTGTGGCCCATCCCCAGACACCTCTGCMGGGATGTTCAATGTTCATCTCCTCCCATCCCTGTGCTGCTGCAGGTGGAAATTCCCAATATCCAAAAGCAGAGGAAGCACTTGGCAAAGCTGGTGCTGGACATGGACTCCTCCAGGACCAGGTASGGAGTGCCTTCAAGGGCTTTACAGGAAACAAAAATTCCCAGACAACTGAAGCTCTGGGGAAAGCAGCTCCTGGA